AAGAAAAGATGATTTAACCATGGATGTAGCAACATGGCTTGGTGTCTAAGAAATGACAGAAAGAGACAACATATTGAGAAAATAGCTTCAATGTCCAAAACAGAACAAAAACAGGAACAAATGCTAAATAAATAGCTGTTGAAAAGTCAGATTCAAATTAGCTAAACATATTTTCTCCAAAGTTAAATATAGAAAAGCTTAAAGTTTATCTTACACTAAAAAAAAGGAAAAAATACTGTCTCAGATTAAAGTAGCCAAACCATTGGAAACATAATAAAAAAACAATACCAGAGGTAGCCATAATTTAGCACAAATCATAACAAAAATTAAACCAAGTCTAAAAGATACATAAGACATAAATGTCAACATAAAAATAGCAACTTTTTCACAGCATAGCTAGAAAACAAAATTCCAAAAAGCATATTTCCTTGACTGATGTTTATTTTCTGAGCAGAAATCCTGGAAAAGTCAGACCTGGACCTGAAACTGAGTTTCAGACGTTTCTTCTTCTACAGATTTAATCTAATTCCTTCCACTGAGACATAATCAAAGAAGATGAATTTATTTGACTCATTTCTGGATCCTGTTAAGAATCACAGAAGTGTTTACTTTTCATAACGTCAATAAAGAGCCAACCTGACCTCCGCTATGTTAAGGTCAAGCCTGCGTGACATTTAGTGTAATCAGTTACAAACCTGTCCACCGGGGGGACGTATATACACACACTGGAGGAGCAATGAAAATACACATCTAGGACACACGAGGTTCAGGGGCCAGAACACGCGACTCTGGGTTTCGTTTTTTTCCACTAGGAACACGTGGACGTTGCCAATGGCGTAGCTGCAGTCTGTTAGTCTTGCTTTCCCAGTTTAAGTGCTGGAAAATTTCTGTGTCATTCCCCGACCAACAATCCGACGATCAAACCCACAGAAAACAAACAGTGTGGAGGTGAACGGGGGTTAGACCGTGGACCAGGTTTCTTCGGCTCTTTTTTTTTGCTCTACTTAAGAAAAACAAATGAAACGAATCTGACCACAAACAACAGCAGCGGTGAATATTTTCCAAAGACAGATCATCTGAACGTCTCTGTTAAACCCTATAACTTAACACTCGTGCCCCCCCCGCTCCCCCCCCGCCCGTTCCGTACCCTGACCCTCTTTTTCTTCAGACATTTGTAAATGCTTTAGCACATGTCAGCCCCTGCATGTGATAACTACTCATTTACAGCACTAACTACATGTCACATGATCTTTGGGGGTTGTGCTGCGGTTAGCGCTGCTGCCTCACAGCAAGAAGGTTCTTGGTTTGAAGTCCCTGTTTGCGCACGGCCCCATGCGGCGATTACATGTTCTCTCCATGTTCTACTCAGGTGCTGCAGCTTCCCACAATCATAAAACCGTGGCGATGAGTTGGTGGCGACGCTGTTTATGTCTGAAACACACACTGAAGCTATTAAAAGTCGCTCCGCCGCAGCGCTCTTCGCTTCATATCCGGAGATGTTTTTCAAAGAGTCAAGAAGTGCTCTCGGTGTCAGGCGCTGTCTCTGGTTGGCCTGCTGCTGTCTTACCTCATTCATCTGCCAAACACACAGTTCACAGCCTGTTTTTAGGAGCAGAGCAAGAGCTGACAACAGAACTGACATCAGTCAAGTCGGCGCTGAAGTTCCACTCAAGTTAGTTCTGCAGTGAGATTCTGGTTTTGTCACCAAATGGCTGCACCAAAAGTCAACGCTGTGAAAACCATTTTCACCACATTAGGTAGGCATGGAGACTGAGTCAACATTCCCAAAATAAGTCTTCTCTACGCATTTGGAGGATTTTTTTTGTTTTGTTTTTTTTGTGTTCCAATTTTACTGTGTGAATCATGCTTTCTCCATTTTGGTTTTTAATTCAGGACATCTCCGTCATCTCTTTGTGCTCATCAGGTCAGAGTTAGTTAAAAAAAACATCTTGGCTTGTCATCTTTCAAACCCTTGAGCAAGTCAACAAATGTTTTAAATTATACATCATTTTCATTAACATAGTTTTTGTCCCTTGAGTTCCACAAGTCCAGCTAGAGGAGTCGATACACCAGTAGGGGGTGCAATTCCACAGTTGTTTACTGTAGAAAAACTGCACTATCTAGTAATTAGTAATTCTTTGATACCAGTAATGATACCAGTAATGATACCAGTAATGATTGTAAACGTGTAACAAGATGAAAGAATATCTGTGAGGGTGTTGACTTGGTGGGGCTTGAAACTAGACCTCCAGACAAAAGGGGGCGCTGCAGGAAAACATTGATTTTCTCCAGTTTAATAAAACCTGCAGCGTGAACTGTTCACTCTGTGGCCAAAGGTGTGAATGTTAGTGTGAATGATTGTCGCTGAATGTAGTTCTCCAGAGTCAGGTGACTCCTGAGATTGGCTCTAGCTCCCCCTGCAGGCCATAAAAAGAACTGCCACTTTTGCATGAATAAATTTAGTCACACCAACGTCGACGTCGTGTAACAGGATATGATTGGCTGGCACCGGAGCTGCCACCTGTTTTTTGTTCCTGTTTTCAGTAACGTACACTTGCAGCTGAGTGTCAGTGTTTCCAAGGACACTTAATCCAGGGGACGCTCATCAGACTTTAGCCACACACTGAGTCCATCCTGGTGCAGGCATCTGGCATCAACACTGTGCCAAACGACATTTCATCAAATTATCCGATTATCCGCCGAAAAATTGAGACGCCGAAAATGACTCTTGAGTCTGCTGCCTCTGCCGTGGTCATTGTTTTTAGAAATGACAAAATCAAATCACCACGGTCCAAAAGGCCTGTGTTCGATTCTCGGCCAATGCAATTCAGATTAGTGCTCTAGCGCAGCATTAGCAACTAAGCTGCTGCCATGACATCACACCATGTGACAGGTTATTGTCAGAATGTATTGGTTGGAAATTTAATTTATTAACGCCTGAACACTCATAAAAGCTTTAGCTGAAAAGTCATTTTTCTGTTGCTAATATTTGTAATATTTTAAAGCTTGCTGTGGCAAGGAGATAGGAGTCAAGGAGATAGGAGTCAAGGAGATAGGCAGTAGTGTGTGTGAGATAGAGGCAGGGAATACAGAGTCCAGAGTCTGTGTGTTCCATTATAGGTCTTGAGGGTCAGGAGATAGAGCAGTGTGGAGTTACAGTAAGTGGATTGATGTGAAGACGGGGAATTGGGACGGTGGCTCCGAGGAAAGGAGAAGTTTGGGTCTGTTCTATCAATTATGTTTGTGGAATGTGCCTCTAGGGGGCGTGGTTGTCGGCACATGAGGAGGGGTTAACTCAGCTGCGAGATAGAATAAACAGACCTCGAGTAGGAGGATTGGGATAAAATTTGGGATTCTGTGGGAGTCGTTGCAGATTTTGAGACCAAATAATGAGACTTTGAGAGAGAGGGAGGGAGGAGAAAACACTGAGATAAGAAAAGAGGGGAGGTAGGGGGGAAGGAGGGGAGGGCAAGACCAAAAGGCTCTTCAGGTTCTCCAGGATCCTGAGGGCTTTCTTTCCTTCCGTCTTCCTTTGGTTTTGATCGTTCTTACATAACTGGAAAAGACTGCTGAACAGTTGGACTGTATATATTCTAGCTGCCAGAACTCACAGGCCAGAACCAGACCACTCACACACAGACACACACACACACACATACACACACACACACACACATACACACACACTGGCTGCGGCTAATGACTGATTGAACTACACACATATCAGCGTGACTTTTCCATCGTCTCATCCTCCGTTCAGAGGCTTCAGTGGCTGAAATCTCACTGCACGACGTTCTCCCCATCGAAACCTCAAGGAAAATTGCAGCAGGAAATAATGATATTAAGATGCTCTAAAGCCACACTTTCCAAAGAGAGAGGGAGAAAAAAAAACCCTGTAGAGATGTCGTACGACAAGTCGGACATTTCTTCTTCTGCTCGCTGTCGTGGTCGACGTTAATTTACTGCCTCTGGTCTCGGTCGTTTTGTAAGCGTTTCTGTCGCGGCTTGAAATCAGTTTAATTGACTTTGCATCCAGACTGAGCCTGCAGACCCTGGTGGGCAGATCATGTGACAGCAGTGGAGGTTCCTCCAGCTCCCCTGCTCCTCAGAGGTCAGGCTGATGCACATCTGGCATTTCCTGTTTCCTCTCCTACTCATGCCCTCGAGTGGTCGCCACACACACACACACACACACACCAAGGCACACAATTAGACATCTGGATCCATACAAAGATATTGTAAACAGCGTCACCGTGAGCTCACGTGCACACACACACACACACACACACATATATATATGTGCAGGGATGCTCGCTCCCTCGTTCACCCTCATTGCACGGTCCAACAGGTATTCCTGCTCCGTTCACTCAGATATTTCTGCCGTTTGCACTTTAAGAACTTCCAGCTGCCGTACGTTTGGTTAAAGGACAGAGAAAAGAAAGATGGAGTGGATCAACAAGGAGAGATAAGGAAAAGGAGGGTCACAAAGGAAGCACAAGTGGAGGGAGGGGGAGAGAGAGAGAGAGAGAATAAAATGTTTGGCCAAGAGGAAAAGAGAAAAAGACAAAGAAGAATCAGATGATGATGATGAGAATGGGAAGGAAACAAGGGAACAATGAAGGAAATGTACCAAAAAAAAGGCAGAGAGGGAGAGAGTGAGGAAGGAAAGAAGAAAGAAGAGGATGGAAGTAAAGAAAATATGAAACCAGGAAAGAAAAAGGAAAGAATGAAGAGAGTGGGGAGGAAAGGAATGAAGGAAGGGAGGAAGAAAGAAAGTAGGAATGAAGGGAAATATAGAAAGAAAAATACATAAAAATATCATTTTAGTAAAAGAGAAACAAGGAGGAAAAAAATGTGAAAAAGGAATAATAATAAGAAGTTAATTTTTTTTTTTTTTTGCTTTTCATTCTTCTAAAAATCTTTGCATCACACAGAGCTGACAAGGAGTTTCCATTCATGTGTGTGTGTGTCTGTGTGTGTCTGTGTGTGTGTGTGTGTGTGTGTGTGTGCAGAGCCAGAGAAAGATGGGGGACAGAGTGGTGCCGTATGGTTTTCATAAGTTTGGAGGTTTTTTTTTTAGTTCTTTACCCCCCATCTAACACACACACACACACTGTCCCCATCAACTGGCGCAGCCTCCTCTAATGCACCGCTCACACACACTTTTTTTTTTACCAGCCCCCTCTTCCAAAAACACACAATTCTTTTTCCTCTACGTAGCCCCCCCTCCTCCCCCTTTTCTCCCTCCCCCATCTTTCTCTCCCTCTTTCTCTCCTTCTGAGGTTCAGAGTCAGAAAGCCGACTTTTGCAGAGGCAGGAGAAACACTGGCAGGATCATCACACACACACACACACAGAGGAGTGGGACTGAAAACCTTCAAACTCAGATCCAGGATGGAGCCTCTGTAGCATCTGGACGTTACTGGACTTCACTGTGGACCTTGATGGTTTTGACTTTCACACCTGGACGGCATCGGTCTCTATGACGTCTGGTGAAGTCAGTTCTTCACTGTGGCTCCTGTGATGATGTCTGGAGTATGACCCACATCTGCACCGCTGGACTCTTTACCTGAACACCTCTGGAAATACACCGTTCAGAATCTTGGTGGACCACAGTGTTGCACAGAGGAACACAAGTTAAAGTTGGACAAAGTTGGTTATTTATTTGGTTGACTCTGGGTCACGTCTGTTCGGACTGGAGATATTTATTTTTCTTGACAATATTTGCGATGATGGATGTTGGTTCAAACGTCAGACTCATGTCTTGGTGGAGGATGCAAAGGAGCAGGAGTAGAAGCAGCTGCCGCAGCAACGTGAGTCTCCGGAGTGTCCTGTGGCTTCTGGTGGTCTGTCTGGCTCCTGGAGGCCAAGGTCAGAGGTTGAAAGAGTCAGAGGTGGAGCAGCCGGGAGCCAGGGTTCACCTGGCTGAGAGCGATGCCGTGTGCCACCAGGACGGATGCTACGCTGTCTTTCTCCAGAAGAGGACCTTCAGGGAGGCAGGGCGGAGCTGCCGGGAGCGAGGTGGGACGCTGGCCACCATGCACACCCACGAGGCCGCGAGTCTTGTCCATGAGCTGCTGTCTGGAATGGAGTCACTGTGGAGCAGACACAGGCTACGTCTCTGGATTGGGCTGCACAGACCCCCACGTCAATGCTCATCCACCAGACCGCTCCGAGGATTCGTCTGGGTCACAGGCAAAGTCTCACCTTTTTGACTTAAGACCTGCATATCTGAGTCTCAGAATTCTAGTGGATTTAACTTTAAAAATGACACCCTTCATGTAACCTTTGCTCTGACTGGTTTTGTGAATGAAGAAGTCCAGCCCAGACACACTAGATGACTAGTAGTCAACTCACTAATGTCTAGATAAATAATGGTTCTGGCCCCGGTTCTAGCCAATCTGTCAGACTTCAGGAGCTGGACCTGAGTCTGGAGATCTGTGCCGGATGGTTAGTACATTAGCGACTTCTGTTTCACAGACACAGAGCTGGCGGGACAAAGAAAGTTCAATCCCTCTTTGACCTCGACAGCTCAGTGGACCCTCAGTCTGATTTAGTCATTACACCAGCGCCCCCTATTAAAAACCAGCTGTGTCTTTTATCGCTTCACCGTGTCGGTCAGGGTCTTCCATCGGAGAGGACGCCAGGTTTACACCGTTTTGTGTAGTCAAAGGATTTCATTCACCCGAGTCACAGAAGTGTAATCACTTACTGTTTGTGAAAACCTGCCAGATTCTAAACTTATTCCAGATTTTGACTGTTTTCAAAACCCCTGTCAGCCTGGCTGCAGATGATGTGAGTGGTGATTAATCTTGGCTGTGAAATCGTACACTCAACGTATTCCACTGCGGTCCATCTGTCACATGACCCCATACGATTGTGGATAAACCAATATGGGCTTCACGGTGAATAACAACAGTCTCATGTTGGAAATGTGAAGTATTTACATTAAAGGCAGACTGCCAAAATCTGGAGTTTGATAAACCCAGCTATGTGCTTCGAGCTGACACAGCTGTAGCATATATCTGTGGAATTAAAGCTGCTGCCAAAATATAGGTTTAAACATAAGGTAGTCACTTTGATGGGTAGAGATCCAAACCCCTGCCTTCACAGAAATATTTGAGACACTATAGCATAGTGGTGTTTTGTTTTTTTTGGAATGAAGTTGTTCTTATTGACATCTAGCAGTGAAGGACCAGTTGTCAGAAACATTTGCTAACCTCGTCCTGGTTTTTATTTTCTATCAGGAGACCAAGATGGTCAGTTTGTCAACTGGCTCCGTGAGGAAACCCCTGGAACCTGTGCTGCACCCCGATGTGTAGCCATGACGGTGCACACAGGCAGCGGGCGTGAGAACAGTGACAACTACCGGTGGGTGGACGGCTCCTGCGCTCTGCCGCTGGATGGATTTGTTTGCCAGTACACCTATAAAGGAATGTGTCACCCCCTGGAGGATGAGGGGAGTGGCCCGGCTATCTACACCACACCGTTTCACCTGGTCAGCACGGTGCTGACATTTGTCCCTTATGGATCTGTAGCTGCTGTGCCATGTCCCGTGGACAGCTCTGACCCAGAAGCCGCTGCAGAGCAGTCAGTCCTCTGCACGGTGAGAGATGATGAAACCGTGGGCTGGTCCAGAGACGCTCCACTCTGCCCTTCCAGTAAGGCTCTTCAGAACCACGACTGGTGCAGCGGGGATCACGGATGTCAGCAGTTCTGCCAGAACACGGACACGGACTACTACTGTTTCTGCTCCGAGGGCTTTGTCATCGATGAAGACGGTTACGGCTGCAGCCCCGACCCTCTCAGCCAAACTGAGTCCCCTGAATTGTCCTCTGACTCTGCTGGTCCCACTGAGCAGCCGCACATCAACGAGGTCTGCGTGGAGATGGGTTGTGAGTACAACTGCGTGGAGACAGCGCGGGGCGTCCGCTGCACGTGCCCACCGGGCTACCAAATGGGCCCAGACGGTCGCAGGTGTTTGGATGTAGATGAATGCAAACAGCAGCCGTGTCCACAGCAATGCGTCAACATCCCTGGAACCTTCCACTGCACCTGCGACCACGGGTACCAGATGGATGATGACGGCGAGTGCGCAGACATCGACGAGTGCCTCGATGAAGGGACCTGTGAAGGAGCCTGTGAAAACACTGAGGGCTCCTTCATGTGCCAGTGCAACAGCGGGTACAAGCTGAGCAGTGCAGGGGATTGTGTAGACATTGACGAGTGTGTGACGGGCTCTCCCTGCCAGCAGCAGTGTGTGAATTACATGGGAAGCTACCAGTGTTACTGTGACGATGGCTATAACATGCAGACAGATGGGATTACCTGCGAACTTTCACCAGATGATGAAGAATATTCCACACTGACCCCTGACCCCAGCGACTCTGCTCACATACCTAATATGGACCCTCATGACATTCCCTGGTCCACCTCCTTCACACCAGACCCAAACTTCGAACCCGACACTAACTTTGATGTTGACTGGTTCACGGAGATACCTCCCGACATGTCGCACGGGGGAGACAACCACCTGAACCCGTGGGACGCCCTCTCACCCAAACAGCATCCAACAGTGCCACCCCCCACACAGAAATCCAACACAGGCAATGAAATTGGAGACGAAGCTAAAGCAGGAAGTAGAGGAGTTAGTGGTGGTGGAGCTGATGCTGCGAACAGGTCACCAGGGGACGTGGACAGATCCAAGGCGGACGGTGCGGAGGATGTGGGCAGCACAGCAGAGGTAGGAGGAGACGGATCGGACGCAGGGAAACAGAAACATGACAAGAGCTGGCTCCTGGTGGCCCTGCTGGTGCCACTGTGTGTGTTCCTGGTTGTAATGCTGGCTCTGGGGATTGTTTACTGCACCAGCTGTGCTGTAGACAAGAGCCTCAGCTTCTCCAACTGCCACCGCTGGATACTCCCCTCCACTCCCCCTGAGAGGAGGGACGGCAAAACCCAAGCATGAACTTTGAAAAATAAACAAACGACAGTCCATAGGCTCACACATTAGCACATACACGTACAGTACACACACATGTGCTGAAATCCAGATGTCTGTTAACATTTCTTTGTGGTGCGGGGCTTGATATAATACAGCTGACCATCCCTCTCTCTCCCTCCCTAGCCCTCTCTCTCCCTCTCCCCCTCATCAAGGCAAATCTAATCCTTTTCTGTTGCACACACATTGTAAATAATTCACTCTTTCGTCGTGTTTTTAAAAATTCAATAAAACCAATAAATGGATGAAAGACTGTGTGGTTTATAAGCCTATCCAACGTGTTCACCCATCAAAGCAATTAACCAATGAAAGTGTGTATGTGGGGAAAGAATGTGTGGTAAGTGGTTATGACTGAGTGGCTCCATGTGTGAAAGCAAGTCGAAAGATTAACAGTTTAAAGGCCTGTAAAGAAAGATCAAAAGAAGATGATCACATCAGATAAAAGTAAAAAAATTCCTTTTTTTTTACATATTTTAAATAGCTGCGATTCAGTCAACCAAATAAAACAACTTGGATTTTTACTTTTACTTTTCACTGGCAGCTAAATATTCTCTGCCGACATTTTCACTGGAGGCTGTGTTTTAAATAGTTGCAGGGATTTCAGGAAATTGCGAAATAAATGGGAGCAGAAACAGGAACAGGATGTCAGAGCATGAAACGCAGTGGATGTGGACAAAGCTGATATTTTGTCTACATCCAGAAGGATAACAGGAAAAGGAGAGGGGTTTCACAAAACAGACGAGGGGCTGAACTGTAAACTTCTTTACCTCCTTTGTTATAAGACAATGTGCAACATTTGGTAATCGCTTTTAGCTATTTTGAAGCTCACTCAACTATATATCGGGTGACCTTTATTTATTTTGGCTTATTTATAGTTAGACTTGTAGTTGTTTTCCTTTTCTAGTTTTCTTGTATGTTTTTATTTGGATCAACTTGAAAACTCTCATATTACATATTAGTATTCCCTTAGTTAAATATATGCAAACAACTTTTCTTTTCTTTTTGCAGTTTTATTTGGTGATGTATTAAGAAAGGCAAGATACACTCTTAATCTGGCCTTTGGTTTTACTGACAGGACCTAAACGTTGCAGGAATAGATACGAAACGAAGGGTGGCAGTACTGCGACTCCAGAAAAATCAGAGTTTAATTAATTTCAACGAGGAAGAGTTGGGAGGGTAGCAGAAAGAAGATTGGGTCAAATTTACAAAAGCCCGCCCCTCTTCTCCTCTGATTGGCTACTGGTGGATTTTGTAGCCAATCAACAAAGACTATATGCTGTATGGAGGCGGGTCTTTAAAGGGAGATTGGATCAAATTTACAAAAGCCCGCCTTGCTCCTCCTCTGATTGGCTACTAGTGGATTTTGTAGCCAATCGACAAAGACTAAATGCTGTATGGAGGCGGGTCTTTAAAGGAAAAACATGTAAGTGCACAGATTCGAATAGAAATGAATTACATTTACTATTTTAACTGCTGTAGTGTCTAAATTTTTTTATTTTATTGCCTCCAGAATCCATGGACTATGTGTGTCAGGAATAAACAATGTCCAGATTCTGCCGGTTATGGAATAGAGGACTGTTAAGGACGGGAGTCAAACCCTCGTGTGTAGGACGAACTAAAGTCAAGGCACATCGTTATTATTTGGAAATAACACCCGTAAGGCAGTCCAAAAATTACTGGTATGATTGTTTTTTCCCCATAAAAACATAATATGTGACATTTTACGTCCTTTTACCCATTAAAAGGCTTGAGTCTCGCGTAGCTTTTCTAAATGACGTCCACGTTGTAACGCAATATGACGACGGTATTTGTTCAACCTGCTGCCAATCACAAACTCTCAAACTGTGATTGGCTGAGAGGCGGGTCTAAGGTTCAATGGATGTCGGAAGTGTGCAACGTGAGACTGCAATTTGACGTTCGTTTGAGCGAGTGGAGAAGAATACGGTAACAAGCTGTTAGGTTTTTCCATCGTTTTACACACATTAAATCATTAGTTATGTAGTGGTCATGTTTCGAGACAGTTGCAGTGCAATTTCCACCTGTTTTTCGACCCCAAAATGTGTTGCATTGTATTACTATATTCTTGCAGTTGTCTTAGCTTTAAGGCGGGGAGCTAACATTGTACTGTTTGCATTAGCCTCTGAAATCTAAACGCATTTCTTTTATATTTAAAGTCAGGTGATGCAGTTTCTTTATCAGATCGAATAAAAAAACACTAAAACATGTTTCTGTTCATACATAACTTTGTACGAAACGTATTCAAATCAATCGCAGTTGGCAGTAAAACAATAGACAGTTACTTTCGAATTTTGTCCATATTTTGATTTGTCAGGTCAAGGTCCACGAGTCCGAGATTTATTGTAAGCGTGGGGTTTGATTAAAGCAGTTTGTGTGTGTTTGTGTTCACTTCAATACCAGTAATTTTAAAGCTCATTTATATTTTTACTATGTCTCTAGTTGAGCTGAAAATATTGTTAATGTGAGAGACACGATAAAAAGAGGAAGAAAGAAAAAGATTAAGGATATAGCTTGTAGCAGATCGACCAGAAGCATACTTTTTAAACTGTTGTAAAACTCTATCAAAGTGGATTTTTATATATATATAACTAATAATTTTAATTACTCTTTGATACATCTCTTCTATTTCTCTGATTTTAACTTTATTCATTTTCTTTACCTCTTACTCTTTGGTACATCTCTTCTTCTATTTCTCTGAGTTTAACTTTATTCATTTTTTTTACCTCTCCAAGTTCCTTATCAACTCTAAACCTCAACTTAAAAATGTCCAAGTTCCTTATCATCAACTCTAAACCTCAACTTAAAAATGGTGGACTCCCAGTTCTACCTTCCAAATGACATCGGCATCTCTGCGCTCGACTGCGGCGAGGCCTTTCGTCTGCTCTCACCTCAGGAGAAGATGTATTCCCACTACCTGTCGCGAGCTGCGTGGTACGTTTTTTAATCCCAGGGTTTAAAACAACCTGTAATCGGAGAATAAAACCAAGCTCCAATCCTGCTCTCACAGGTACGGTGGTCTGGCAGTGTTGCTGCAGACTTCACCAGAGTCGGCGGAAATCTTCGTCCTGCTGCAGAAAATCTTTAGGAAACAGACGCCATCACAGCTGGCAGAGGTCGCCACAGCAGCTGGACTCAGTGCTGACGAGTATCAGGTACTTGGTAGTCTGTCTTGGAAGTCTGTGGCTTCTTCTCGTTATTCAAATATAAAATAAAATGATCTTTTCCTTGTCATCTAGGCCTTTTTGGTCTATGCAGCAGCTCTGTATGCTAACATGGGGAACTACAAGTCTTTTGGAGACACTAAATTCATCCCAAATTTACCCAAGGTAAGAATTTCTCGTCCGTCTGCTGCTACCATTGTATAATTTTGTCACAATAGAATTTCTAACTCTTTGTCAAACTTTTGTCAACCCAGGAGAAACTGGAGACTCTGATCAGGGCCAGCCAGGCCTTCCAGGAGCAGCCGGCTGAGATGGAAGCTCTGTGGAACAGCTGCTCGTGTCCTCTCTACTCCCTGGAAGATCGGCAGAAACAGTTGGGACTGGGAGACAAGGTTTGGAACCCGAGGAGGCCCCGGATGATCACCGCTTTATTTGTTAATGATTTTGTTTGTATGTACTGTAAGTATTTATCTCTTCTAGGGAATTACTACCTACTTCTCAGGAAACTGCAGTTTGGAGGATGCTGAGCTGGCTCAGAAGTTCCTTGATTCAAAGGTTGATTGAATTTACTCTCAAGTCCAGCTAAACATTTACACATATTTGTAGTTTTGCGCTCATGCACTGTATATGTTGCTTGACCCGTGTCCACAGAAACTGTCAGCCTACAACACTCGTCTCTTTAAGCGGGAAAACGGAGGGAAATCCTGCTACGAGGTGCGATTGGCTTCAGCTGTACAAAAAGGTCACAACTACTCATGAGCATAAGTTTATAAGTTGTTTATATATAAATATATACTTTGAAAAAGTTTATTAAAAGCAGTTTTCTGTTGCTGTAGAATGTGCTGTGGAGGGAGAATGCGAGTCGAGCTGCGGGAGTTTCAGTTTCGAAGACAAAGAGTTCAGTGTAAAGAGAGGAGACTACGCTCCTCTCATGGAGAGAGTCTGCTGTTTCCTCCGACAAGCAGAGGTGAGTGACTGACTGTCTGTTTACCCAGAACTCTGGCAGTAGTGAAGAAGAGAGAACAACCTGACGGTCCGGTCTGTGCAATGAATTAAGTTGGATGTTACATTTTGACTCTAGTTCATAAAATTATCTTAATGAAACAATTTCAACACATTTCTTCCTGTCAGTATGCTTCTATATTTTATTTATTTGTTTATTTTTATTTAGTGTGTTGTTTTCACGATAATCTTTTTATTTAATTTAGTGTGTTGTTTTCACGATAATCTGGACATGCAAAGATTATTTTAGGATGGTGAATATCTGTGGTCCAGAGGTCTTTGCTGCACTCTTATGAAGTATTAAGAAAAACCCAAACCAAGCTGAAACAGTCTGACAGAACCGTTGTTTCCCCTGTGGAATTCTGACCGTGTTTCCAAATAATCCACACAGACCTACGCCGCCAATGAAAACCAGAGGAAGATGATTCAGGAATACGTACGCAGCTTCACCCTGGGCTCCATCGACGCTCACAAGGAAGGCTCCCGCTATTGGATCAAAGACAAGGGACCGATTGTCGAGAGGTGAGTCCACTGATCCACCTGTCTGCTGTCAGAGATGAAGATGCCGTTCTGTCATCCAACACTCGATCAAGTCCCAACACACTGACAGCAGATAACTTTAAAGGCAGGTCAATGGGCTCACATCTGATGTTAGCTGTGAGTGTGATCTGATGTACGACAGGCAGCGGGAACGCAGGAAATGAGCAGTGTCTCTGTACAGTATCAGTCACTGGCTTCATGGTTCGCTGTTTGTTTCCAGATGCTACTACTTCCAAGACATTTGTACAAAAAATAATGAATGAAATCTAAAGAGAACATACATCTACGTTAGCTTTTTTATGCATATTTTTGAAATTGTAGATGCTAGGAGTGTAAAAAAATATCTCTATATTTTTTCCACATTTTATTCCTCCACAGTTTGGTAATATTTGTACAGTGCACTAATATTTTTAGAAAATCTGACGAGAACATACCTGTTTGTAACTTTTTATGCATATGTTTGAAATATGTAGATGTTAGGAGTGTAATATTTGTACAGTGCACTAATATTTTTGTTGTTACTTTTGTCTCTTGTCCATCTCAGTTACATTGGGTTCATAGAGAGCTACAGAGATCCATTTGGCTCCAGAGGAGAGTTTGAAGGTAACAAACATTTTGTTCTGCGTTTTGACAATTTTGTTTTGAATTTGAATTCCGTTTTGAACTTCTCAACCCTGGTTTCCCTGTTGAAATCATCAGGTTTTGTTGCCGTGGTGAACAAGGCGATGAGCGAGCGATTCGCCAAACTGGTGAGCTCAGCGGAGGTCTTGCTGCCACAGCTGCCTTGGCCCAAAGAGTTTGAGAAGGACACGTTCCTCAAACCTGACTTTACTTCACTGGATGTTCTCACCTTTGCTGGAAGTGGAATCCCAGCAGGCATCAACATCCCTAACTGTACGTGTTCTGATGACTTTAACACAGTGCATGACATCAGTGTTTCCCAAACTTTTTTTTCCTGGTGACCCATATTTTAAAAGTCACAAACCTTTGTGACCCAAGTCAATAAACATTATTCATAAACTTGATGTGAGACGACAAAAAAAAAAAAACTCTTGCGACCCAGCCAAGGGTCGCGACCCAGCCTTTGGGAAACAATGCATTACATAGCATCATACAGATTTTTTTTTTTTTTCCTTCGTCTAATATTAGATGATGACATCAGACAGTCGGAGGGATTTAAGAACGTGTCACTGGGCAACGTCTTGGCTGTGGCCTACGCTACAAAGAAAGAAAAACTCACCTTCCTGGAGGAGGACGACAAGGTAACGGGTGAAACTTCCAGCACGTTTGCTCCTGTTTGATTCATACAATTTTAATGTTCTTCATCCTCCTGCACGTTTGTGTGTTGTTTTTTTATTTATTCCTTTAGGATTTGTTCATCAAGTGGAAAGGCCCCTCGTTCGAGGTACAGGTTGGCCTCCATGAGCTGCTGGGTCATGGAAGCGGGAAACTGTTTGTTCAGGTGAGGTGGTGGCCAGCTTTGAATTACAGTATGTAATAATATAATCTGGTTCCTCATTGTTTTTATGATCTCATTGGCTTGTCTTCAAGGATGATCAGGGGAAGTTCAACTTTGACCAGAACAAAGTGGTGAATCCAGAAACTGGAGAACTGGTGAGTTTCTGATGCTGACTGTTCCTCGTGTTGGAGAGACAGTGATTGAGTGAAGTGAGTGATTTTTAAAAAAAAATTTTTTTCTCGTCCAGGTGTCCAGTGCGTATCGGGGCAGTGAGACGTGGGACAGTAAATTCTCCACCATTGCGTCGTCCTATGAAGAGTGTCGCGCCGAGTGCGTCGGCCTCTACCTCTGCCTCAACAAGGACGTTCTCAGGTCTGTCCGGGAGCAGAACCTTTACACAACAGAGACGGTTCCTCAGTCACTGGAATTCTAGAGAATTCCATTTCTACTTGAGCCCGTGCCAGCAGACAGACATGTGATTACTTTAACTCTCTGATGTGTAAATAGTGCTAAGACGCACAGTTTTAAGGCAGTTTTAAAACTGTTTTTTGTGATGAAAGATTCTGTCTGCAGTAACTGGAAATAAATGAAGAGTCACTGGGTGTAAACACACTGGAACTGAAGCTGGAAAAAGAAAAATGAACATCTGTAGAATGTGCAGCAAGACATATATGACAATATAAACAGAGAGAAGTCTTCAGGCATGGATGTTAATCATGCACGGGTTTTTTTTTTTAATTTATTGTGAGATTTTTTTTTTTTTTTTAGCTGATGGTTTCACCTCGTCTTGTCTGTGTGTGTTCGTTGCAGTATCTTTGGTAATGAAGGCCAGGACGCGGAGGATGTGATCTATGTGAACTGGCTCAGCATGGTCAGAGCCGGACTGTTGGGCCTGGAGTTCTACACACCTGAGAGCAAGAGCTGGAGACAGGTAGAGTGTTTGCTCAAGACGGTGGTTCTCAAAGTGAGGGGACCGGCCCCTCCAAGACGGAATTACAGTGGTTGATTTTCTGCGAATCTGTCGATGTTATTTTCAGATTGTTGTATTAGGTATTGTTCTGTTTTATTTTACACTTTAAAAAGACAGACCCAGACCTTTTATACCTTTAATGGTCACAAACTGAGACAGAAATGAGGTGTTTTAAACTGGATGAAAACATCAGTGATCCACGGCGTCGTCTGGAGAGTGTTTACTAGAAACGTCAGATCGTCTGACTGGCTCATGGAGCTGTCTTCTTTTATATCTCAGCTCGTGTTGGAGTACGTCTCCGTCTGTGTTGATATTGAGTGTCAGAACATGTAAACACGCTCTCCGTGTGTCTGTGTGTCCGTGTCTCAGGCGCACATGCAGGCTCGTTTCGTCATCCTGCGTGTCCTCCTGGAGGCCGGGGAGGGCCTGGTCAGCCTGGAGGAGGCAACAGGACAGGACGGCAAGCCTGACTGCAAGATCACGTTGGACCGGAGCAAAATCCACACCGTGGGCAAGGACGCCATCCAGAGGTTCCTCTGCAAACTGCAAGTAAGTCCATATATGTCTCATTCACCGTGAGACTTGGTTTGATTTGTGATTTGGAGATGTCTGTAGAATAGAACGGTCTGAGATGGAGTTATTATCTCTTATTTCCACTTGACACTAGGTGGCACTGTGGGAATCACTAAAACATGTTCCTTGGCATAGCTTTGACCAAATAAGGCTACAATATGGCATTTTACTGAGAGGGAGGATTCAGCAGGGCAAATTATTTTTTCAATATTTATTAATTCTTTAATTTAACCACACTTTATTTGCTCCACCTCTACATTCCCTCTCTGACCTAACTCATGTGTTTGTCAGGTGTTAAAGTCGACGTCAGATGTAGAAGGAGGCAGAGCTCTGTACGACTTCTACTCCACCGTCAGCGACAGCGGCTCTCACAACTTCCTGCGTCTCCGTGACACGGTGCTGCTCAGGAAGGAAGACCGGAAAATGTTCGTCCAGGCCAACACCAGAATCAGCGGTCAGTGTTTTTCACCTGTTCCTTCTGCGACCTTTGATTCGAGCTACAAACCTGTTCAGACTCCTGTCCTCCCACATGTTGACTGTCGTGTCTTTGTCTTTGTCTGTTTGTAGGAGAAAGTGTGGAGCTGGTGGAGTATGAAGGCAGCGCCGCCGGTTTAATTCGCTCCTTCATTGAGCGATTTGAAGAAGACACGGATCAGCTGGAGGCCGACCTCCTGGAGATGAGCAGAAGGGACGCTCCCTGCTGGTGTTGATGGACATTTGATCCATGGTCTGCCAATATGAGGATAATTTTTTTTAAGCATTAAGTCTGATTAAAAAGTAATAAATAAGGAAAACAAAAATGCAATTTGACTCAATTTTTCAAACATTCAGAAATATATATATATTTACTGCATATATAATCGTTTGTTACTTCACTCACAACATTAGTCATTTGACATTGAATCTAAAGAAATAAAAGGCTGTTGGAGACGATGGTTTTATTGTCTTCAAATATTAAACCTGATTTTAATCCAGCTGTAAACGTAACAGAAACAAATATATAATATGGATTTTAAACCTTTACAGCTCTTTTTTTAATTGCACATCATTGAGGACAAAATTATATTATGGTTTTAAATTTATTAAATACTTTGGTAGCTGTATGTGAGCGACAGTATTTAGAAACACTTAAAATACAACAATCAACAAGTGTCAGCTGAGGTTTATTTAATTTAACTTTGTCCTCCCTGCTTTCATTCGGCGTTGCCTTGAGATGACGGAGGTACAATCTCTGCCGCCCCCTCCAGTTCATGGGAGGAACTGCAGTCCGTGTCATTGAGAGCAGCAGCATTCATCTGTAAAACGAGTCCCCGTGCCTCCAACTCCTCCTTTTCAATCTGTCCAATCTTCTTGTCCTCCTCCTCTTCCTTTTCAATGACTTCACAATTCTCAGCAGCTGCAGCTCCATTCTCCATCCCATCATCCACATTCACCTGCTGCTGCTCCTCCTCTTCCTCCTCTTCTCTTTCGTTGACTTCTCCCCCTGGAGTGTCTTGCTCAGACTTTTGGAGGACGGTCGGCGTTTGATAATTCTGCTCTGCCATTTGTGAGAGTGGTGAGGAAGTGATGGGAGACAAGGAGAAGAGGGGCTTTGGAGAAGGACAGGGGGACTGATAGGGTGAAGTGCTGGGTGAGTCCTGAAGAGAGAGAAAAATAGGGATTCTGGGTGAAAGGGATGGAGACTGATATGGGGAGAGAGATGGAGAGGCACCAGGTGATCTCGCGGGAGACAGTGGGGGAGTTCCTTTAGGGGAAATAGGAGGTGCAATGGAAGCAACAGCTGGTGAGAGGTAAGGAGAGAGTGGACGAGGGAGGAAGGGGTTGCCAATTGCAGGAGGCTGCATGTAGTCTGCGTCGTCAGGGAGATGCTCCAGGATTATTGGGAGCGGAACTTCGAGTTCATCTTCCTCCCCTTGAGGTTGCGTTTGCTCCTCAGGAGGAGCCACTGATGGAGCTTCAGTGTGAACCTCGGCAGGAGTTTCCTGAGCTGTTGATTGAGTCCCATCCTGCTCCTGCTGTTCCTGAGGTTTACATTTCCGCTTTATTTTAGGCATGAGAGGCGGAGGAGGCGGTGGAGCCAGAGGAGGTGACAGCAGGGTGGAGGACTCTGTGGAGACTCGAACCTTGAGGCTGCGTTTTAAAAAACGCCGTCTGGACAGGACGTTGTGAGACTGCAGGAACAGAGGGTTGATGAAGCAGAAGGCCCCCAGACCAGAGCCACAGTCCAACTCTCGGGGGCTGCGAGTCGTGATTGGACAGAACTCGTGGAACAGAGTGGGTTTGATGGTTATTTTGTCTGAATCCGGTTCTGTCGTGTTCTGCTTCTCTGAACCGGTCTGGGAAGTTGAACCAGAGCTCGTGTTTGGAGGAACAGCAGAAGAAGAAGAAGTCGAGGTCACGCCATCACCGTCTGGCTTCTTCTCCACGTCCTTCTGGGACTTTGGTGTCTCCCGTGGCCCACGGACGTTTAGATGAGAATTCCAAAATTCTATAAATCAAGACGTTTTAATTTGAGTAAATCTGTTTTGCTCGTTTTATACAAAATGTTCCAAACATGTCAATCATTAGTCATCACATTCTTTCATATCAAAATATTTTTAATTTTTTTTATTTTAATTGTTGTGGTAGCAAAACGAATATTTTAAAAAAAATTTATTTTAATTGTTGTGGTAGCAAAACATAGTGGCTAACCTTTTGAAATACATAGAGTCAGAGTCAGTTCATCAGTATAATTTTCTCTCTTTTTTGTACATAATGACTAAATAAAATCATACATAAAGAAACCAGTTGTGTTAACAAACCTATTCCCATGTGAGAGATGGACTCCAGCTCTTTGTGGGAACTTGCCTTCGCAATGGCATCAGGAAGTTCCAAAGGGAACGGTAACACATCCCTAATAAAAACACAGAATAACATATAAATAAAAGAACAGACACAGTATTAAATATAGAAGTTTCTGATGATGATGTTGTCTCTTGATTAAGTGAACATTAATGTAGGATTATTGGCTATGACTGTCATAGAATCATCTGTAGAAATGGATGGGAAGTTGGTGGAAACATAAGGGGCGGGGGCTGGAGGGGGTTGGATGATGAGAATCTATTCTTTACCTGCTGACGCAGTAGAAAGCAATGAGTCTTGGGAGATCTGGGAAGCTGATGGCGGAAGTTTCCAGACACAGAGCTGGAGGAGGGAGGAGAGAGAGAGAAGATAAGAGTCGTACTGTATGAGAGTGAATGGAATAAATGAATGTTGCAGCCCTTTCTTTGTCCTGATGACCATTTAAAATGAATCAATTTCAATTCCTCAGGAGTGTTAGGAACTTACCGGACGGTTCCTCCACGATACCAAACTGTTGGACAAATGATGGAATGCTGTCATCCTCCAAACGTACGCACAGCACGTTTTTCTGGGATGTTCGAGATTTTCGCACCAAAAACGTCTGCACCGGGAAGACACAGGCGATTAGACCGAGAAACACCAGTGTATGAACTTTACTGTGTGGAGCATGTGCATGAGCTGACCCCTGGTGGCTCCCTCTGCAGTATGTGCAGGGCAGTGGCAGGGTTGATTGACAGCTGGAGCCAGACAGGGACGGTGAGCAGGAGGCGGTCCAGGACACTGATGCTCCTCAGAGATCCTCGTCCCCTGTGATGTCCCAGGACTTTCTTGACTGAAGACTGCGTCGGCTCCGGGAAATCATAAAGAGGTTCTTCTTGTTGTGCCATCTACACACAGAACAAACACCTCATTACCACAGGCCTGTAACGAGTTTAACCAAATTATCAGCTGATGTAAATTAAAGTAAAAGAATTCTAAAGGTGACTGGTGGA